TAGAACGAAAATGTTCTCATGCCCGCGGCGGGCGGGCTATCCTGCCCACCTGCTGATGTGGCAGGAGAACCCTGCGTGGGGTTCTCTCCAAATGTGAGATCCCCACGTTGGGTTCTCTCCGAGTGGGCAGGATAAGATTGCCCATCGTGGGCAGGAGAATAGCTCTGTCACTTACAAATATGCCTGTTTGGGTTTGGGTTGGAGGTCTTGGCAGATTCTAGGCATCTCACTTTATAATTTTTAAGCTGTATCTTGATCCGGCTTTATATAATATCAGCTTGGATAAATAACTTAGCTCAAGATGAATCTATTATAAATTTGGATGCATAATTACAGGATTAGGTGGTAGAGCATGTTTAGCAAAGCTTAAAAAGTTTACTTATAACTAACTAGGATTTAAAATAACTTAGTTTTATTGGTTACAAGTTGGAATTAAGTAAATTATTATTTTTAAGCTTAGTCAACTGATTTTATTTTTTTAAAACGGTCACAGTACTGACACTAACAGAAAGAGAAAGATAGAGTAGCTGAAAAAAGAACCAGATAAAATAAAGGATTTATTGTAGGAAAATCATGTGATTGGGTCACAACACAAAGTATTGACATTTCATTTCAAAAGGCTACATTTTTAATAGTTTCTCTCCTACATCTTATGTTTACTGTGCTTTTCATTATGCAGATGTTGATCTATGAGTTCATGTCTAATGGTACTTTGAGAGATCACCTATCTGGTAAAGTGTTCTTTCTCAAATTGACCTTTTGTGTTTATTTCTCAATTTCGTGGTCTCTTAGTCTGTGCTTTTGTGGCTTACGAGACTGCATGTAAGGAACATTGAAATTTCACTACTTCTCCAGACTAGATCACACACACTAAATAACACGTAAATTGTGTAACGTGCGACTCACAGTTTTTTTCCTTGAGCCCACAAAATTGTCGTACTGTAATTTAACCCAACTTTTCATTTTAGAATTCCATTTTCATATGTTCTAGCGTGTCCAAAAGAAGAAAAGTAACAGAAACATTTTGCTGCTTTAACAAGACTTCAATGTTTGAGATTTGCAGGGAAGTCTAAATTGCCTTTGAGTTTTGCTATGAGAGTAAGAATTGCACTAGGTTCAGCCAAAGGCATTCTTTACCTACATACAGAAGCAAATCCTCCAATATTTCATCGGGATATCAAGTCAACCAACATATTACTAGACCCTAAGTTTGTCGCAAAGGTTGCTGATTTTGGACTATCACGGTTAGCTCCAGTTCCTGAGCTTGAAGGAGGCATGCCTTCTTATGTATCAACAGTTGTAAAGGGGACTCCGGTAATGTTACTTACAAGTGCAAGTTTGAATATTTATTCGATATGCAGCATCCAATTATTATTCTCTTATTTTTGTTTTCCAATTTCAATACTGTGACAAACAAAATAAATTTACTAAGTCGTTAAAAAATGTGCATGCTTG